AATAATGAAACACCTTTTAAGGTTTTATTAAAATATACTTTTGACAATTTTATTACCACAGTTTAGTGTAAGAAGGATTTGCAAAGCAAGTTTTAGAAAGTTTTGTTTTGGATCGACTGCATTCTATAATTGTAACAATGAGATATAATAAAGAATAATCAAGCCTAATTCTCATTTTCTTGATTACTTTGCCTCTGTATTAAGTGGCACAACATATTATTTTGGAAATGGAAAGATTTTGTTTAGGGTTTTCATTGGTTAAAAAAAATTAACATTTTCAAGAATTTTCATTCCCATTTTTTTCTCAAATCGTGTTTAAAAATTGTGAAGTTATTATAAATAAATTGACTTTAATGCACTTCTTTTTTGTTACATAGCACTTCCTGAAGAATGCTTATGTGTAGGAGTTGCAAGAGTAGGTTCTGATTCCCAGAAAATCATCGCTTGTTCACTGAAACAAATGAAAGATACTGATTTAGGTCCACCATTACATTCCCTTGTTATATGTGGGAAACTTCATCCTTTGGAAATAGAGTATCTTTCCCAATTCGCTCTCAATGAACAAGATTTTCAGAATAGTGTAGAGGTTTAATTTACTTGCCATTTCTATTTTAAGGTGTAACTGTTTGCTTCAGAATCAGTGTTATAATCAATTACCATTGGCAGATCATGAATTTAAAAAAAGAAATGAAAATTTGAAATGTATTGTTATTTTCAATTATTTATGGACAGCAAAGTGTGTTCTTATGGAGCAGTACAAAATCTGTGCAAATCATTTAAAAATAATTTTGAATATGCAAATATAGAACTTAAAAAACAAAAAAATGCTTTTAATGTTGATGTACATTATGTAATTATATACTGAAATGAAAAAGAAATAATTGAAAACCAAGAAGTTAGATTATATTATCTTATTCATTCCTTTGTAGTGTTTTCTTCACTTGTTGTGGATGATGTCTGTGATCGGTTCTTTTTTAATTGTTTTATTATTGTGCTGCTGCAGACACAAACAAATGGACTTGTCGTGAATTGTGGAAAATAACAAAATCCTAAATTTGTTTTTATGCCTAGATAGATACGCTTTTGAAGTGTATTGTTTTTTGTATTTTATATAAATCTTGAAGTGTTGCATACAGTCGTTGAATGATCTTCACCTATGTGTCATGTGGTTTTATGCAGACATTCCATCAGGGA